GAAGGGAAGGTGGGGTGTGGGGTCGGCGGTAGACTTCTGAAATAAACTGTAAATGTCATCTTTCTCAAAGGTGAGCTTAGACGTAAGATTTAGGGGTATGATCTGCGACTATTTTTACTATGAATGTGCAGCAAAAGTGTAGATCAAGGTTATTAGATTAAGTATTAAGAATGAATAATTAATTAATACAAGCTTTACAAAATCAGTAATCCTCAATTAATTTCGAGTTAAATCAGCTATCGATAACAAGTTGGTAGGAATCGGTTCAGATGAATAATTTTCCCCACAAAATTAACCATTAGCTTTAAAAGTTTAACAAAAGTCTAACCTTAATGTCTTAGAGGACTAGAATTTTCTGCGACCCAAGAGTTGCGCCCCTCTGCGGTTTAGAAACGAATGAAGTCGCCTGTGCGGCAGTGCGACTTTAACAATAAAACGATTACCAAGAGAACTATTTCAACTCTTTGAGTTAGGCGGGACTGTCGTCTGCTGAGTCCGTGCATATAACACTAGACGTGTCGTTTTCCCAAAGTGACGAATCGACATGATGTTCGACATCTGTTCCTATCTGCACCATCAGTGAATAAAGTCAAGATGAATTGTACAACAGAGAGACCGAATTGTTTTGTTATCACAAGTAAATTGCTTTTGTTATGAATTGTACTTAAAATATTGCATAATAAGTGCGCTCTGTTGTATTTTTATAACGATTTTATATCATGGCGATTTCAAGGCTGCAAAGTTTGGAATGTGTATGGTGAGTACTGTGTTTCTATTGGTAGAGTGCCATTATGAAATTTCCATCTCAAGCAAAATAAAATAAAATTCAAGGTAAAAAGTCAGTATTACGACAGCGTGGTTTGTAGCTAGAGCCCGTGACTGTTAAGACAGGTGCTCGGATCACATTTTCTGGTACATCAAACTCTAATCAACGCTTAACATAAGGTAGGACAAATAAATATTTTTGTGCTTAAAACTGATCACATGATAACCTCTTGAGCCAAACTTCACAGAAACTCTACATCATCTGCGTTATCGATCGTCGAGGCACCTTCTTCAGGGTTTGAACTCGAGACTTTCGAATTTATCAACCATGAGCTTTGCTGACTCGAACATGCTTCCATCACAATTAAGGATTACGTGTCAAATGGCTATGCGCCATTGAGGCCATTGACTCCGATTTCAGCCTGCTTTTCTTTTTGGATTTGCTTCCATAGCCTTTGTCCAACCAAGAACAAACTACAAGGTCGAGGCACAGAAAAGTAGTCTTATTTACTAAGGTTTACTTTTATGTCAATATTGACATAGAGTGTTATTTTAATGCGTTATTACGGCTTCTTCTATATTTAATTGATATTTAAAAGAAAAATAACAATTTAATGTATGCAAGCGGTTTTTAGTCCTGGGCCAGCCACTTCAATTCGTGCCAGGTCTTGCCAGTAGCCTGCACTCCATGTTCCGAGTGGTCTTCTTCTCTTTCATTTTCCACGTGGAGTCCATTTTAGCGCTATGTTCGGGAGTCTTCTTTAATTCATGCGAAAGACATGCCCCAGCCACCTCCATTTCCTCATTTGTACCTCTGAAACAATGTCGTTAAGCTTGTTGCGCAAAGAAGCCTCTACTACGACACAGTCTTTAGTGAATCCCAAATATCTTAAGTGACAGTATGTGTAAATTACTTGTCTACAGTAAATTGAATAACATTTTTAATAACGTCTTAAATTTTAATGTGAATTTACGCCAAATTCATTCAGGTAACATCAATTGTGTAACCAATCGAGGTTTCATTCATAAAAATATAAATCCTTAACAAAAAGCTTTCCACACGTACGGACTCGAAAAATAAAAATAACCTAAGGCTAAATAACATATATTCATTTTTATCTAAAAGTAAGGCGCTGGGCTATCCATCTTTCTTTATGTAAACTGGGACTGAAAATAACTGGGCACGAAAGGTTTGTGAAATTCAAGACCTTGGCGGGCACGGTGATCGGAAAAATGCACAATGGAAAAATGCACAATGGAAAAATGCACAATGGAAAAATGCACAATGGAAAAATGCACAATGGAAAAATGCACAATGGAAAAATGCACAATGGGAAAAATGCACAACGGAAAGCTGCAAACAAAATTATGCGCAACGGAAAAATGCGCAAGGATAAAAATGCGTCCACAGAAATTTGCGCAAACGAAAAATGCGAAAACAGGAATCTGCACACTCAGAAAATTACGCAAAGAGATTTTTCCGCACTCAAAAAATAAAAATAAAAATTACGCACAGAAACTAAAACACAGATCTTTCGGCAATTATGAGTACGAAAATGTGTATGTTCATGCTTGTATGTTTAAGTTTGTATGCTTTTCTGTGTATACATAACATATATTTGATTCTCATTTATGTATTTTTTGATAAAAAAAAACAACAAATGCCACGGCTCTTACTAAAATGCATGGAAACATAAATTGCTAAAATCTGCTGATTAAACATTCGTAGATGCTGTTTACAGAATGTGCTTCGGCTGTAGATGATTGGCCCACATGTTCTTTAACTATAGCGAATGCTTGTACACAGGCAGTTGGTCAACAACGGGCCGTGTGATCACAGATAATTTGACCAGACGTGGATTGCACGACTACGCCTACGCGAACACCAACACCGACCGTTGACCTACAGACTAAACGACTTTTTTTCCGCCCATCCGTCAATCCAACCATCCATCTCTCTTTCTCTCTCTCTCTCTCTCTCTCTCTCTCGCTCTCTCTGATTCTCTCTCTTTCTCTACTACTTTAAAATTATATTCGAGGGAGTGGGGAGGGGGGGGGGGGGTAAGAAAATAAGGGGCGCTTATGCCTAAATCCGGAAAGTGCAACATACTGTTCATTTGCAGAAAAAACAATACCATTATTTTATTTCCTCATTATTTATGTTCTGTAAACACCACAGCCTATCACGTAAGATTCTTTTATCTGAAAAAGATTTCACAAAATTAATTTATTTAATGAAGGGTTTCACAAATTTTGTTACAATTTTGACAAGATTTTATCGGTTTAAGAAGTGTATATAATAGTCGAGAACAACCAGTTAAGAATAATAATTATTTAAGCAATGTAGATAAAAATCTTTAACAAATTATATTTAATAATTAAATTGAAACAAAACTTGATGACATTAGAATTTTTTTTTCATTTTAAAAATATGTGTAGGCCTATGTCTCTTTGGAACATTGGAAACATAATTTTCAATAATATTTATCGAACGCGGTGTCTAATGATTATGGTTGATATAATTAGCTCTTTTAATACTTAATTGTGTTCGTTTTATTTCTTCTGAGATATGTCATTTTAATATATATATATATATATATATATCTATATCTATATATATATATATATATATATATATATATATATATATATATATAATATGTGTGTGTGTGTGTGTGTGTGTTTGTGTGTTAATCATGTTTCAGTGTTATTACTCATTTTGTTTCAATTACAGATATATATCTATATCACCTTATCAGTTGTATCAAGATGAAGTTTGCAAAAATAAACATTGCAGCCATACTGTTTATGTGCATATCATACGCACAGGGTGAGTCTATTACGATCACACACAGTTAGAAAAATAGTTAAAATAGTAAATAAAACTAAAATCAACGTAACCAATTCAACGTTGTAGTCTCGCGGTATTAAAATTTTCTCTGTATAGATTGAAGTATTGTAATCGTGAAAAAAATCGAAATCGTGATTTTCACAAATCTCGACTATGGACAGAGTACAGAAAAAGTATTGTAATCGTAAAAAAAAATCGAGATTTTTTACATCTCCCTGAGTCGGAAAAACTTAATTTTGCAATCTTGTCCGTATGGCTGTGTGTGTGTGTATGTATGTGTGTCTGTAAACACGATAACTTGAGTACCATTATAGCTAGGTTGATGAAATTTCATATATAAGTATTATATAAAAATCGTAGACCCGTTTCAACTTTTGAGCGATTTCCGATCACCGGAAGTGGAAATTTTTCTTTTGTAAATTTTTCAAAAGCCTATAAATTGAGTAGGCCTACTATTTCAGATAGATAAATTAAATTTCACATAAATAAAAGATATATGAAAAAACACATGTAAATTTATAAAGTACTAATAATATCCCGCACTGTTATGCACATTTTGTTTGGCGTTCACTTGGTGTGTAATTTTTTTTTCTAAAATATTCTATTCTATTATAAAACGTTTAAATTATTAAAATGGATTTAAAATATTGTCTATATCCTGAGTTGCCATCCCCTTAGTGTTATATAAGAATATTCGAGAAAGTTTAGGGGATATCACTCCTGTTTTTAATATCATTATAAATTAGTAATTTTTTTGTTTGTTGTGATTTGTGAATATAATAAGCGCTTATTTATTTATTTTTATGAGAGAATAATTTTTCTTAAAGGTTTGCATTCGCAAAAAGAGCGCGGTTTATAAATATTGTAATTAATGTTTTTTTCCAGAAGCAGCCACATTAACAATATATTAAAACTAGTTTTTTTTTTAAACAAAATATTACATATTTAGATTTTAGAAATATTAATGATACAATGTTCTTAAAACTCTATTTTCGGGAAGAAACGTGTAGCATGATTTCCCTATCACGAAATGATTTATTGTTTTGAAAAGTTGATGCTGTGTGTCGTATACGGTTCTTTCGGGCTATACACCATTTAGACTGTTGGTACTTCCGAAAAGCTAAAATAAAATTTATAGTCAAGTGATCAAACTATCGTTAGAGAAGTCGCTTGTATGAAGTAGAATAAATCCATAGTATCGAGACATATTATACAGACATGAATACTACTTTGTTTTAGCCAAGTGTCGCTGCCAGCAAATTACAACGGTGGTCAATGGACAAAATGTGTGTTCGTGCAACCCAGGCTATATCGTCAACCCATCTAATCCTGCTAAATGTCTAGGTAAGAATATCGATATTGTAAAATCGATACCTTAATCAACATGGTTTTCCCAGGTAAAGAGAAGCGTAAAATTTTATGGTACGACCGAGGATACACGCTTTAGGGATCACACATATTTTAAGTAGACCCTTTAAGCAGATCTGGATTATTGTGAAAATGAGCTTATGTTATAAGCAAATATATTTCACAGGTATTTATCTATAGTGTGTTACTCTATCATTGCGATAGTTCTTTTTGCAGCCTTACCAAAATACAAGTTTTTAGATTTTTAAAAGATTGTTTATGTTTTGCGTATTGTACTAGTCGAAAATTGTGATTGACCAGCTGGGCATAAGGTACTACGTAAACAAGTGTAGAGCACACATTATTTGATATACATACCTGCTTTCTATTGTTCAATTTTGTTCAGACATTGACGAATGCAAAGATGAGCCATATCTATGTGAACAGGTTTGTACCAACACCATTGGAAGCTACACCTGTTCATGTAATGCTGGATATGTCATAAGTAGCACTGACCATACACAGTGTGATGGTAAATCTCAGAATTTAACACATTTATATATCTTTATAAATGTTATTAAAAATTAGAAATTGTATACTATTTAAAATGCATGGTTAACTCGGCTCAATGATACATTTCGCCTGCTAACATAAGTTCTAGACATCGATGAATGCAGCGCTCAGCCAAGCCCATGTCAACAGAATTGCACCAACACAGACGGAAGCTTCACTTGTTCATGTAGACCTGGATTTGAAGTAAATAGCATAGACCCAACAAAATGTGATGGTAGGTTATCCAATAAACACCACTCAACATTTCTTGCTTTTAAGTTCGGCCAAAATTATCAAGCTCGTATACAAAGAGATAAATGATAAAGTAAACTGTTTACTGCCTTTTACGTAGACTTTCTGAGATGGGAGGGGTGTGGGGTGGTGGGCGAAGACCCCCGAAGAGATGCCTGGAAAATACTATGAATAAAAACACATCTTAGTAGCGTAGAATTAGATTATTTTATGTAACTTATAAATATTCTGCGTAAAGTGTATTTTTTTTTAATTTGTATAAGGAAATGCTTTTAACAGTAAATATTTCATTAGTCGCTGTAAGTGAATATGGGCATACGCTGTTCCTTCGTTGTATGTATTTATAGTTATATTACACACTGAATTTGTATGACAATTTTTTTTTCCCAAATAATACTCTTTTAAAATAATTTGATTACAAATTACGTTGTAATTTTTTTAAGCACTCTGTGTTCCGTTATCAAGTGGAATAATAGAAACCCGAAACGCCACATCAGCCCTGGTAATGTATTTAAAGTGTATACCTATATCCATGCTCCCGAACTAACTAACATCAATATTTACATCATAATACATATCAATAGTTATATGAATATATAACTATGTTTTAAACTAGACGACCTAGTTTCCCATTCGGAAAAGGTCCGTTGACAGCATTGTACAACATTAACCAATATCCCATTATGCCCGTCCCAAATCAGATAGTCTTCTTACCCCAAATTGATCCCTGTTCTTAAACCTAAGTTCCCAGTTTTTTTTTCGAACATTCATTTATGACTTCCTTTCGAAAGTAAAGCGCGGTTTTGGATGGGGGGAGGCATAATAAAGTCGAGTACGCTTGCGGTAATGGAGGTCGGTGTAGGTTGTCTTAGAGGTAACTTTCACTCATCAAATAAAACATTCGCATAATACAATCAAACGGAAAAAAGCATATTACTTATAGTAGTTTTACTATCCTGTCAGTCATTCTGGAAAGCTCTAGAGAAAACAAAAGCAAAATAAATTATCATCACAACTGAAAACGAAAATTCCCACGAACGTGACGGCTTATGAAACATAAAGGAAATTTTCAAAATGAAAGGAAATAATATGTTAAGTTCTAAAGCCAGAAAAGTACACGGAATAAAATGACGTAATTGATTCTAGAATAAACACAGGAATAAAAAGCCAATGCCGAAAGAAATGCACAATAGTTATGACGTCATTTATTCTTTATGATACAGACACTTACATGACTGCCTATTTTTTGTCAAATGTTAAAAGTGTTATGTATGTAGAGTTTCTCCATGATAACGTCTACTGCCACCAACCACCCTAGGACGAAATACAATGTATATAAAAAATGTAGATTTTTACAATTGTCAGCCGTCGACCCTAGCCCGGAGATTCTAGTCCGCCTCCACCCCCCAGAAAATTTTTTCCAAGTGCCTTCACGCCCCATCTGGAGAATAAAAGTCGGAAAGAAACACTATCTGCATAATTGAGGTTCAACTGCCAAAGTAGGAAACGTGTCTAAATAATAGCAGTAGTGTCTATACATGCAACCAGTGTTTCTTTTAGACATCGCCCCCCCCCCTCGGGGATCCCCTAGACATTTTCGATGGTGGTGGATTGGAATTTATTTTCAGGCGGAGGGGGCGGAAACTGGTATGATAATTTCTACTATATATAGTCTATTCCGTGATTTGGGCGGTAGATGCTCTTCGTGGAGGTTCGGCTCCTCCCCCTTCCCGAAAAGTTGCCTGAAAGTAAACTCCGAATGCGAGTTTATCGTTTGAGCTTATGTGCAAGGTTAAGTGGTATGACTACGGCTATCAATAACTACATGCACATTAAGGTGAAACCCGCTGAAAATGCCAATTATGGATAAAAGATGGGAGGGGGGAGGGTCCCTTGAAATTTTCGGGGGGGGGGGGGGGAGGGTAGTCTCAGTTTTCCAGAGAACTCTGGTAAAAATATATTATTTATATAAATTATATTTCTTTATAGGGGTGATAGACGTTATTTGGGGGGCTCCGCCTCCTAAACCTCATAAAAGTTGCTTTAAAGCCACATTCACTTCCACATCCACATCCACATCCACATCCACATCCACATCCACATCCACATCCACTTCTACTTCCACATCCACATCCACATCCACATCCACATCCACATCCACATCCACATCCACATCCACATCCACATCCACATCCACATCCACATCCACATCCACATCCACATCCACATCCACATCCACATCCACATCCACATCCACATCCACATCCACATCCACATCCACATCCACATCCACATCCACATCCACAGCCACAGCCACATCCACATCCACATCCACATCCACATCCACATCCACATCCACATCCACAGCCACAGCCATAGCCATAGCCATAGCCATAGCCACAGCCACAGCCACAGCCACAGCCACAGCCACAGCCATAGCCATAGCCATAGCCATAGCCACAGCCACAGCCACAGCCATAGCCATAGCCATAGCCATAGCCATAGCCATAGCCATAGCCATAGCCATAGCCATAGCCATAGCCATAGCCATAGCCATAGCCATAGCCATAGCCATAGCCATAGCCATAGCCATAGCCATAGCCATAGCCATAGCCATAGCCATAGCCATAGCCATAGCCATAGCCATAGCCATAGCCATAGCCATAGCCATAGCCATAGCCATAGCCATAGCCATAGCCATAGCCCCATAGCCCCATAGCCCCATAGCCCCATAGCCCCATATCCCCATATCCCCATATCCCCATATCCCCATATCCCCATATCCCCATATCCCCATATCACCATATCCCCATATCCCCATATCCCCATATCCCCATATCTCCATATCCACATATCCCCATATCCCCATATCCCCATATCCCCATATCCCCACTTCCCCACATCCCCACTTCCCCACATCCACATCCACATCCACATCCCCACATCCACATCCCCACATCCACATCCCCACATCCACATCCCCACATCCACATCCCCACATCCACATCCCCACATCCACATCCCCACATCCACATCCCCACATCCACATCCCCACATCCACATCTATATCTGTATCTTTATCTTCATCAAATTTTTTTCACAGGAATGCTATTCAGCTTGTAGGGCAGAACATTGCTACTCTTTCAAGTTTGCCGATGGTCTGTGTACAATCAAGCTCTATGTTGGCGATGTTGTTGATGTTACTCAAAATATAGTTGCTGGATCAATTATCTCATGCTACAATGATAACTGTAAGTGTTTCGTTGTGTGAATTAGTTTTGCTAAGCGTAATATAAAATCCTTAACTGGCCTTTCATAATATGACCCGAATTGACCGAACTTATCCTAAAGAAATAATACCCGTACTCATACTAGTAACTCTACCCGTACCCTTGTTAGTATCGGAACCCGCAACCGTAACCGCACAGTGATGTGAAAATTTTTAGTCTACATTACATTAAATTTTGTAACAACATAAACATTTTAGGACATTTATGAAAAAAAAAACAATGCCTCATATGAATGCTTTTGTAACTTATAACGTTTAATTTAGCTTAGACATTAACGTCGATTTCAATTGGAAACAACGATAGTTGTCTACACGGTGCTGAGCTCTGTAAAATGATATAGAAAAACCACAACCACTTTTACGGGTTTACATTATAAATCACCGTGAAAAGCATTGCATGGAAACTCATTGAGGCCTAGACTACAATAGACTTGAAAAGCTGGTTTCAAATAGTTCCAAATTTTTGTTGCAAGAAAGCATATTTTTCAATCAAAATTGAATATTGTATAACATGTGTATAATAAGTACAAAATTACTTACGGTTTTATTTAAGCTAGAAACAGTCAAGGAAGTAATTGCTAGTAATATAATACTAATTTAGCAAACACTTTTATTTTTTAATTTGGATTAGTAGAATCTGGTTGTTGTGGTGATTGGTGATGTTATATTATTTATTATAAATACAATACTACTCTAAACACCGGAGAACACTATTGTGTATTTTTATCATGGAAAACAATTGTTCTGACTTTTATTGTTTTACTCTCCCTGGCCATTCCGGTTGACTTCAAGGAGAGGTTGAAAGGAGCTTATGATATTTGAACAGATAAAATAATTCTAAACGGCTTTTCAACGGCTTATATCCGATTCAAAAATATAAAAATGAGTGTAATCGATGGTTACCAAACGGTTTTAATTTTTACAAATGTAACAATAAATGCAAGTATGAGTATTCTGGCTGATTGTTTTTAAAGACAATCGGAGAGTGTAGCCTGCATTGTAAATATTTAAATGGCTTATTAGATAAACTATATCTTTTGTCTGATCGTTTTGCTTGTGTATCATATTAAATCATTTTGTTGTTTATGCTTTTAAAAGTGTAACTTTTTTCTCTATGTAGCACAGTGCACTTTAAAAAGCGATGTTGATAATAATGTACCGGTCACCGAACAGGGTCACGAGGTAAAGTTATGTATTTTTGGACATACATATTTTCACATAAATCTAGATGTTTAAGAACGTCATTTAAAAAAATTGTAACAGAAAACTGTTACAGAAAAATGTTACAACATTCATTATTTTGAATTTAGATCTGAAATAATTGATTTTATATCTATTTTGAGATTTTTTACTTATTTACAACCAATATCCACTTATTTTTGGACTTATTTAGCTTCGCTTGCCTTATGGGTTTCAGTTTAAAACGTATTTGGTAATGTTTGTACACCCTTTATTTCGCTTGTTCGTGTTTTTTTTTTAAATTTTGTTTGGTTCAGCTTGACTTTCAATTCATTGATGGTGTCTTCTTCGTTCTTAATTATACTGCACGGGATATCCTTCTACATAATGACTCTGACTTCATCCAACTTTTCATTCTGGATTTGGCACCATAGCCTGTGCCCATCCAAGAACAAACTACTTGGTCCTTAAGCAACCATGAGCTTTACCGACAGGACCACGCCAACCCCTATAATAGTGTCTGACAAGAGAATGTATTGAACTGTTCTTTGACAGCTTTTGGTGAAGATCTGTACATTCTCCGTGGTAGTTTAAGATAAACACCTCTCTGTTCCCTACAGCAAATCAGGCTTTATCTTTGATTGGTTTTCAAATGCAGGCATGATGCGGTCCATATATTTTTATTTTGAGGAAGGCAAACTTAGCTTAAACTATCCTTGCTATGTATGGAATGGTAAGGAGGGGCCTAGTGGTAGAGATCTTCACTGCTAACCTGTAAGTTTCAAGTTCAAATACGTTCGGGGGTCGGTCAGTAACCGGAAGTAACATTCTCTCAAACATTCGCACACAAAATAATTAAAATAAAACAAATAAATCATTCACCCGCTCTCTCTCTCTCTCTCAAACACACACATATGTTTATACTTATATATGTGTGTGTTTGTGTGTGTGTTTAAGAAAGCTCTACATATTGAGCTTTTTTCTTACAAACCTTCAAAACAAAAGAGTTTCTCCTTCTTTATTTACCCATGTACGTATTGTCTTGAGTTATCTCTTCTCTAGTTGGGAATGATAATCTTAGCCTTACTATGAATTTAACTCTTCATCTTATGAGGATGTTTTTGCACTTCTCTTACAGGCTTGTTTTACCTTTTGCCTTGAAGATCCCGATTGTATCGGCTATCACTACTTCCCCAACATTTTATGTGTTCATACTTATACGGCTGGAGACACTGTTGACATAAACAACTTTCCGGTGGACACATTTGTCTATCTTGATTGTGATGAATGTGAGTGTTATTGGTTCATATTTTACCTGTTATAATGATAACTTATTTTGTTTTTTATTTAATAAAAATAATGCATTACTAACACTATTGATCAAATGATAATCATTAATCCCAAATGTAACCAGTGTTTCTTCCAGACTTTTTTTCTCTGGGGGGCACTTGAAAATTTTGGGGGGGGGGGGGGAGGGGGGGCGGTAGACTTTCTTCGGGGGGCGGACACTGTTAAAAGTAGCCTATATATTTTCTATATAAATTATACAAATGTCATTTCGTTCGGGTATGGGGGGGGGGCGGTAGAATAGATGCCTGGAAGAAACTCTGAAAGTAACGTCTTTAAAAATTGTAAGCTCCCGTTTTATAGGTTTCGAGAAAAATGTACTGATCTAAAATGAAAATTGTGTTTTACCACAGAAAACAGTTGGGGGAAGGCACGTCTACAAAGAAGGAAAGAATGTAGGCCTACTGCCCGACACACGAGATTCGTCCAACAAACTGCTTAGACGACTTGTCTATATATTAAACAATTGAATAAAGCCTTGCGTCCTCTTTTAATTTTTTTTAAGTCAGTGAGACACTAGAGAATGTGAAATCGTGTAAGAAATATGCAGGCGTGTGTTCTTAAAGAATAATGTTTAATGTAAAATGCAAAAATTACATAATACACAATATGTATGGTTAAGTAGACTTGTCGGTCTTTGTTTCCCGTCTTGTATGTGTGTGATAATGTGGGAAGAATATTTGGCTCTCGATTGAATAACATTTTGTTAAGTAAGACATGCATATATACGAAATGTTTCTTTAAAGACATTTTTTTTCAAAATATGTACATACTATATAGAAATATATGCTCGCCATGATGAATACACATAAATCAAAATGATTTGATAATTATATAAAAGAAATCCAATGATAAAATCTTTAAATAGTCATACATTATATTGGATTGCAAAAGTGCAAATGTTAAAACTTACGAATTTAAGAATGGCTCTGTCTAAATTATATTAGCACGATGTTGATTAACTTATGTGACCCTCCATAGCAACACAGAGTCATTAGACACAGCTTGGGTGAATGATAGATGGGTTGTCATAGGGTCAATAGTGCGGGTTGTCAAATAGGTATAAAAGTTTGTTTTAACAGAAGTTCCTTGTTCCATGATAGTGGATGTTAGTATTGTACTTATTGTTGTGTATATATTAAGGTGATTCGTAGTGGGTCGTCAGGCCATAGGTAGTTAAGATGTGGACGATGTTGTAACAGCAACAATTGCTTTAAAATAAACTAACATCATCAGTTGTATTCGCACTTCTGTATGAAAGAAAATTAAATGAACATTATTTTAACATTGTATCAGTCTATGTTCAAACATTTAGAAAACATAGCGATTGACACCACGAGTTGACGAGATTCCTTCCATAATGTTGTTGACATGGAATAAAAACGTGCTTTTTAGATTTAGACCGTAAAAAAATAAAAATAAAAAATTAAGCCTAAAATTAATTTTATAAAAGTTGCAAATCCAGAGAACTTGAAAATAATTTGTTGAGTTTAAGGCTACATTTCTATTTATTTCCATCAAGCCTAAGTTATAACCGGATGTTTCACTTTCGTAAGACAAATATTGATTGGCTGTACAGTAACTTAGTGATCGATAACTATTTGTTTACAAAACTTTGCAGATCAAGTTTTTAAATAACAATGCAAATGTAAACCCCATGACCTAGTTTTTCTATTTTTAGCTGACAATGTGAACAATAAAATTTATGGCGGCCTATCGATAGCAGGATGCCATTGTTTATGTCGCCATTACACCTGAAAACCAAATTGTTTTCCTTTTTTTTTAATTTTTATTTAGTTACCGAAAATATTAAAAACATCAAATACATCCAATCTTTAGTAAAGTCCGAAAAAACCAGACAGGCAGGATTTTAAAACCATATTAATTGTAAATACGCCGTGCATGATTTTTAAATTAATTTATGGACCTCTCAAATACCTTTGAGACTTTTCTCGCCGGCGTCCATTAAGATTTCAATCATGGGTTTCATCCTTGTGTGCTATTATACTCCAGTTTTAAAATGATTATATATATATATATATATATATATATATATATATATATATATATATATATATATATATATATATATATATATATATATATATATATATATATATATATATGGTGCACGGACCATTGACCACAGGTGCTTTGACCATATGGGGTTTGACCATAGGTGGTTAGACTAGAGAGTGGCTTTGACCATAGGGGCTTTGACCGTAGGGGCTTTGACCATAATGGCTTTGGCCACAGCGGGGATTTGACCATAGGGGGGCTTTAACCATTGGGGCTTTGACCACAGGGGATTTGACCACAGGTGTTTTCTCAGCAGAGGGTCTTTGATCACAGGTGGTTTGTCCAATGCGGGCGTTTGATAACAAGCGATTTGTCCATATATAGTACGGATTAATTTTAAAAATTGGAATCAAATACACACGATTGGCGATGGTGTAGCACGAACAAATAACATTTTTAAAGGATGGTATAACAGTCTTCAGTCTCTCGTCCAAAGTAGTCACCCAACAATGTGGTGTTTCCTTGAAGGTCTACATTTGGACTGCACACGGCAAAAGACAACTTTCTTGCAAGGTGTCGCAGGAGCAAGCTACCCAGCTGAGAAGCTATACAGATAAATGCAAGTAAAATTAAAAATTACAACATGCTGTTCAGACATAAGCTCAAATAGATGTACTGACATATGTGGGTGCTATAGCACATCTGTCATTTATTTAACCATACAAGTATTACTTCTTTGACTATGCTGTTGACATGATTTTTTATCCTTAATGCATGCTATGTATTGCCAGGTACATCTACACTATTTATTTGTGAAACTTTTTATGTCTCATTATTTGTGTTCCATATTTACTTAAAATAAATCTATGAGTTATTGAATAAAATCGTGTGAATTGTATCATAAATTTAAATAAAAGAACAGTTTCTAATTTTTATTTTTTAATTTCTATATATAATGGTTAACCCCGCCCTCCCCCTGTGAAAGCCCCGCATTTGACAAAGCCCCTATGGTCAAACCCCATATGTTCAAAGCTCCGCTGGGATCAAATCCCCTATGGTCAAACCCCCTGTGGTCACAGCACCCGTGGTCAAAGCACCTAAGATCATATATATATATATATATATATATATATATATATATATATATATATATATATATATATATAAACCTAAATCTAAACCTAAACCTAAAGCCCAGCCTGAGCATGAGCATGAGCTTGGCTATTGGCAATGGTATTCAAAAATATACATCACATAATTTTATAGGAAAATATAGTTTATTACTTTACATACCTCATATATAATATACATCTATAAGTGTCGATCGTTTGATAAACAGTTTACAAAGCTCATATTTACATTATGCATACATGTATTTGTTTGTTAAATTCAATGCAGATGAAGCTGCATGCTAAACATCAATGTATTGTCACTATTCACTAATCCTAATTAGGCTATGCTGTATACGTGCGTAGCTGTTCAAAAGTTAACATAGATAATCTATTTATAGCATGTTTAGGTGTTCCATTTCCAAGCAGGAAGTTAATTGTTGTTGATCAGTGTCTACTGGTATAGGTCTTTGATAAAGATATTTGAAAGACAATGATAACACAACGTGAGGGGGAATGGGGATGTAGTAAATGGGTATTTGGTATAGTTTACATGGGGAATAATTGGAATGGGCGGTTCACATTCTGCTTAACCCGTTTTGTTTTTTATTGAGTCACGCCAGGTTTCCATTAGATCTGGTGGAATGTAAAATATCCCTCTCAGGAAAAGTATAAATTTCAGTTTACATATTGTGTGTTCTGTCTAATAATAGCACAGTCCATTTTTTTGTCGTTTTTAAGTCTTTACGTGTTATTATGCTAATAATACAAAATATTATACTAAATACTAATTTTAAAACAATTTTATTTTCTTGGTGGAATCTGGCTTAGCCGTGTCGTCAACTGGATTGCTGGTGGAATGTAAATTATTTCCAGACTTTAGTTCAAGTCGTAAAACGTCAAAAGATATCAAAATCATGATGAATTTTTTTTATGATTGGAAAACATCATATATATTCCGTATACGTTATAATAGGAATGTGTAAAATGACAGAAACTAAACTAATATTTTTGTGCACCATACTCTGTATGCGAGAAAATAAAAACGGATAGCAAGGAATACATTGTGTATGGTAATTAATATTTGTGGTTCGGATATAGAAATTCTTAGTATATTCAGAGACAAAATCGTTAGTATTTACTTTAGACCTAGTTTGCAAAAAGTATATAGATTAAATAGTGATCATTATGTCCTTAGTAGTGTTTACAGTTGTGTTTCTGGCTAGTTACTGACTTTTGGTTGGTCGCTGGTCACATGTAGATAGTGGTTCTCTCCAGACATGAGTTCAGCTTCCAAAGTTGAGTATGTGTGGACGCTTGGATTAACAACGTCGTCTGGAACATAGTAGGCGTTGGTGCTTACAGTGCTGCTATATTCGGTTGAAGAGTAGGTTTGAGCATTCTGACTACCAACATTATCAGAAGACACAATTCCGCTTGGTCTGTTTCTTAACTGTGTTTCTTGTTGTTTTTTATTTGATTTGCGTCTTACGAGAAATAAAACGACAAGAAGTATCACAATTACAAGTGATAAACATGTCACGACAACGGCTAATGCTATGTTTACTGGTGCTTCAGTTGAGGTAGTCTTGACGGCATTCCCTGTGATGTGTGCTGTAGATGTTACGCTTGATTTAACGTATGTGCCTGAAATGGCTGATCGTGTTGTAATATTGAAGTCACTTTTGTGGACACACTGCACATTGGAAGAGCTGCAGACGAGGTCAACATTGTAGGAATTAAATTCTAGTCTCACAGATTGTGTGGACAGCCATTTGACTTGCGTGGGTTGAAAGCTACAGTTACTGGATGTGAAATTTAAATGTCCGCAGTTATCACAAGACGGCTG